AAATGGCTGGATGAATAGGAGTCAAAAGTTATCTTTTCTTAAAAACAGCTTTTTTGGGGGGGGTCAAAGGGTGAAGGTCGATGGATTGTCAAAGTGGCTTCGTTGCAAATTGATATCTTGTACTCATATTAGCTTCGACAATGAGCGATGTTGAAGATGATCCGAAGTGGGCACGATACTTGTAGCCAGCATTGTTTAGGTCTTCAATTTTACTTTCCTCTTGGATGTAATTAAACTAAGATGATGCCACGATCCTTCTAGTGTTTGTATAAACTATATTTTTTTTTTATGAAAACCGAATCTGTGCACTTGTAATTTTGGCTCCTATTGATTGTGCCATTTCCATTGTTTTGAATGGAGCATAATCTGCAACTTTTAAAATGTTTGTTTTAGGTTCGTGGACTTTACAGAGGTGTTTCCTCTCCGATGGCCGGCATTGCTTTTATCAATGCTATAGTATTCGGGGTATACGGCAATGTCCAGAGGCGTTTTGTAGACGAAAATTCATTAACTAGTCACTTTGCGGCCGGTTTTACTGCGGGGGCAGTACAAAGTTTCGTATGTAGCCCCATGGAACTTGCCAAAACAAGAATGCAACTGCAAGGAAATGGCAATTTCATTTCGAAACGCGTTGCTAACTATAGTGGACCTTTCGATTGTTTGGTAAAAATGTATAAGACAGAAGGCACTAGGGGTGTGTTTCGAGGACTGGGATGTTCCGTGTTGCGCGACTCCCCAGCTTTCGCTGTGTATTTTTCTAGTTACGAGTATCTGTGCAGGAAAATGGAAACACAGAACGGCATAAGCACACCCGTAATGTTGGCTGCTGGGGGTACCGCTGGCATTTTGTCGTGGATGGCAACGTACCCGGTTGATTTGATAAAATCAAGATTGCAAGCCGATGGAATGAACGGAGAAAGAAAATATAAGGGCATAATCGATTGCTCGTTGAAGAGTTATCGCGACGAAGGCCTTAAGGTCTTCACAAGAGGACTGGGATCTACCATTATAAGGGCATTTCCTACTAATGCGGCAACTTTTACTGTTGTTACCTGGATATTCAGGTTATGCAACAGTCAAGACTCGTTTGATTTGAGGAGAGAAAAACACACCACTGGTATCTTAGAGAAGGACATACAAAGAATTGCCGCGTGTGTAGATACATTCGTATAATTCTGTATCTTTCTCAGGAAAGTTAGTTCAAATTAACGGGAACATTCCATAATGGAATTATGATATATATGCACGTGCAATAATTATAATATATAATATACATTTGTTACAAATATATACAATTATATTGTGTAATAGAGTTGCATAGAATCTCTCGAGCATTATCTTATATGTTATCCAGTTTATTTTAAAACACATTAAGCAATTCTCGTATACGGATGTAATATTTTATTATGAATTAAACAGTTTATCAAAATCAATATGGTATCTAATCTGTGTTTAAATTTATCCAAATTTACGTATACTACAGCACGTGAATGTAAACATTTACAAATTACAGATTATCTGAGATACAATGGTTTAATTTTGGATATTTTTATGTAATTTCTACAAGATTTATAACCGTTGTTGCGTAAGACATTTGCTTTAAAGCCCTCTCACGTCATGAATTAACTATCAGTTATGTATTATGTACCGTGGCATTTAATAAGATCACTCCCCCTGTCCCGAAATCGATAAAATCGCTGAATGTTGTTGTTGGTTGCGTATTCGCGCCTAGTTAACTGGCCAGTCACGTGTTTTCCGGTTTTTTTCGCGTGTCTAATTCCTCCTGTTTCTCCATGGAAGATCCTCGGCAAATCGTGTTGCCATATACAAACAGCAACGACTTAACTACCAAGGCCCGGATTCACAAATACCTCGTATCGTAAGTTACGACGAAATTCATCGTAAATTACCACATGCAAAAAGTCTCGTATTTACAAAGCACGTCGTAAGCTTTACGATATTGTAAAAAGTCTCGTAACTACTACGATATTTAAGAGCTTTCATAAGTCTTAGTTTCTCGTAACTTACGACATAATATCTCTTCAATGTCGTATCTTACGATACGTTCGCGAATCGACCCAAGCTGTCCCGTTGCAGGCACGATAGAATCTATAATAGGCCTTATGAGCTATAAATTGCGCAGTATATTGTTTTAAGGCATTAATCCTCGATTGGCATTTAAAGGGATGGTCGAATTGTTGAGTAACTTGTGGTAAAATTCTAAATTCTATCTGTAAAATTACTGCTAGTGTATAATCGAACCTCCAAACGACGGCCATTTCTTATGTTCCTGTCAGCGGCCGCCGTTCGGAGGTTCCACTGTGTAAAATTTGTTATTAATTAAAGAAGTTGCAAACATTGATATCAACCTATTTAAGATTAAAATATAAGTAATTAAGATATTTGTAATCGTATTAAAGTTTAGAAATCTTAAGTAAAAACTGATTTCTAAACTTTAATATAATAAACAGATTGTGAAATTAATAAATTTGTAAGTATTAGTGAAATATACAAGGTTATTGAAAAGATTTACATTATTTCGCAATTGTCTTATACAAATTATATTAAAGATACGTATCAGATAACCTGTGGTACCCTTGAAATGGTCGTTGTTTGGAGGTTACTTTGTATGTATTTTTGTTCCTTTTTTTAATATACTTTGCTGAAAAAAATGGCCATTGTTTGGAGGTTCGGTATATAATTAAAAATTCGAAATTTCTAATGAATGCTGTGGTACCACACATCTGTGTCTGCTTACTATAAGTACAGGTTGTTATATATGTGAAGAAAACACGGAAAACTCTACGCGGCCAGCCCGAATGAGGTACGAACCCGTTTCATCCACTCAGCCGCTGGTGGGCTAATGGGCAAATTTTTATGAAATGAAATTGTTTCAATTATTGCACTCCGTAGAAAGATGCTGACGTAGCCGGCTAATCGAGATGAGCCTCTCCGGAAGATCGGGCTCAGAACTTTAGAATTTTTCAAGGATAATTGTCCCGGATATGTTGGGCCCTTTCCTCGCTATCTTGGACAGGATTTGCTAACAATACTATGACGCAACCATGATCAAGACGCGTCGGTTTTGAGGATCCAAATTCGAACCTGGTACGGTTTAGAAATTTGTAGGGATAGGTTGACCCGGCTGTGATAAGTCCTGTTTCTCAATAACAGGTTGCCCCATCGTAAACCTGGTTGAAGCCTCCACAATGGGCATTGCTATTCAAAATACATGCAACTTGGGGTTTGTATACTTATGAGTTGAAATTCTATTCAAACAGATTGTTGTTATTTGTGAAAATTCATTGTGAAAAAGCCCACCAGTTGTCGAGTGGATAAAACCAATGAACACTGGTAGTTGGTCGCGGATTCGCTCTTCTCTGACATGGCTTTCGTCACGTTTTTAACACCCGATCAGGGGGCCAATTTTTCATAGAAAGTTCTCTCTGGAAGCATCCCCCTCGGCAGATCGCCCACATGTCGCGTTGCCGTATACAAATAAACCAAACCATTATGAACAATTGTTGTTGCATTCAAGAAAGTAATGAATATTAAATGACTGTAGTTTTATAAACCAAATTTAAAGTTTTCACAACAAAACTTTTTAGTAAGTAGATTGTAATTAACTTTCTTAATTTTTATTTGGAATATTATAAATGCAGTAAATTAATTCAGTTAAAACAATTATTACGAAATTAAACGGCAATAATAAATATTAATTTCTTCTATTTATTCAAACAGAAAATATAAAAATGTAAGAATTTGCGGATTCGCGACACGAAATTAAGATCGATCACTGCAATTTATTTGCAGTAAAACCGGCGTAAACCGAAATCGCATGGTATTGAATATTTTTCGTCTTGGACAAGTTTCCCGTATATAATCAAAGGAAGAACACTTGTTCAAAATTCTTCAAACACTTGGACATCTGTCTAGGGGGTAAATGTCTTCCGGAAAGTTATTTTAACGGTAATTGGCCCCTATTCAATCGTTACAGACATAAAGAAAACCCTGAAAACACGTAACAAGGCGCGAACTCAAGACTTGAACACCCAGTGTTCGGGAATGGAACCGCTTGGCCACTGGTGGACTGCTTTAATTCGGGCCGTGGTTCAAAATTCTAATGCGTGCCCCTTTACGCTCTACCCCAAAGAAGAGACTTGCATGATTGCATTCCACAAAAACCTTTAGCGTTTAACTAAGGAAAAGAATCACCCGAACCCATTGTTTTTAACCTGGGTTCAGGTTCGTCCATAAACCATGTGTCTTGTTTTAGTTAAAGTTTAAATCCTTTCCCTCCCTTTGGTGGTCAAGTATGGCCCATCCCAAAAAACCAGGTGGAAATTTTAAGACCCCTTTTCTGGAAAAAGTTACGATATGCCATAGAAACAAAAGTGCATTGGGGAAATAGAGTTTAGCAATACAAGCTACACTTGAATGATATTTTTAATGCCCACAAGTTACACTTATTTTCATATTGACTCTAACGTGCCTTCTATTCGAACTATAGCTGTTCTGATATTCAAAGTTGAGATTGTTTTCCATTTTCATCTTTGGAATCTTGTTGCCAGAATTGATGTAAGGCATTTCCTCATAAGTAAAAATGGCGCAATTGGACGATCATTTTGTGGAGCATTTTAAAATGAAGAGAAGTAAAATTGGTTACATAATTTAATTAATAGTTTCCTAAATTAATAACAGGATAGTGTTAAAAATTTAGGTTATACTGTAATTATAAGATGAAACAAATACCTTTTTTTTTCAAATTTTTTGCAGAGATTCTGATAAATCGTGATCATATCTCTCCGTCTCCTCGAACTTTAATCACCAAAATTTAATGGCGTCAATGCCTGTTATATACAAGTTTACCATGCCAAATTTAGCTTCTTAATCTTTTCCCCATCCTAAGATATTAAATGAAGCACCCACATTACATATACACGGAATTTTCTCCTTTTTACTTTCTTGAGTTCTGGAGATTTGCGAAAAAAAACCCTAATTAATACGATTTCAATACTTTCTTGTGTCGTAAATACAGTAGACCCCTCCCCATAATACTGTAGATAATTCCGTGTTATATGAATTCCATGTTGTACGAGTTACTTAGATTTTACAAATACGTGATCCGTTCACAGCCCGGCACACGTATTTGTAAAATCTAAGTGACTGGTACAACATGGAATTCATATAACATGGAAGTATCTACAGTGTTATAGGGGGGTCGACTGTACTGAAGCCCATAACATCAACTGGCCTCCTCCAAATCTGGGATGCCTTCTCAAACATGAAGATACCTACCGCGCACTCATCCAGCTCGCTGATATGTATTTTAAAAGGACATCTGTGCCATCATTCAATTGACCGTCTGCTGTTCAGCTTCTGCCAATTACAATCTGTTAATCGGTAAGCTGTATCATGTATTATATACTTTGCAATTGTTGTATCTCTTCACAGCAAATCTGTACTTGTATAACGTGCATTGTTTTAAATATTAATGCATCTGTAATTGATTTATTCACTCTAGCATATGACACCTTGATGTAGTGTTGGTACTTTGGTTTTATGCACTTCATTTCTTCACATTGTATCACATATTTTATTATTTTTGCATTAGTAATTCAGCAATCAATTAATTGTATATTTTATAACACACATACTAACTCCTGTACCCATTCCAGCTGTGCTGGCATCTGTTCAATGCACTTTGTATATTGCTATTATTCATATTGTCTATCCTATGTTCTGCATTTTGTGTTTCTTCACAGCAACTCTGTATTGTATAACATAGCCTGTATTCAAAAGTTTAAGTATCTGTAATTTGTTCACTGAATATTGTAAAAATTAAGTATTTGAAACTGTTGTTATCTTGCGCGCACAACACCTTGCTGTGCTGTGCTTTATGTTGTTATATTCCAGCAATTTGTTTCCTTTCTTTTTTAACCTTGTATTATAATTGAAATCTAACAGGTGTAATCACGTAACTCTAAATTTCGTAGCTTTACATGATATATTTTTAAAATGAAATCAATTAAAAATACGACCAAAAATTGCAGCCAGGCATTGTGACGATGTCACAATAAACAGTTGCTCGTATTATATTACGTTATATTTACTCGTTATTCAAGAATTAAAAAGAAAAAAATAAATAAAGTACAGAACAAACGTAAACAATCAATTGTTATATAATAATAATATAATAGCCAAATGACATATAAATATATATTTTATAACAGTTTACATAATGAATTTATTGACTAGAATAATTTCGATATCGATTATCGCCATGGACGATCGATATCTCTATGGATACAAATAGTATCGTCGTCTGTCGAATTAATCGAATAATAATTACATTTCAATCCTAATAATAAATTCCGACGGTCGAAACTATTTTTAATTTAAAATAATTTCGTTTAATAAATACGTATTATTAACGATTTAAATAAATAAATTTATTTAAATTTGTGAATGTTTTTACCTGTCAGATGGCGCTGAGTATGCGATTCATAGGTGGGTGGCCTTCGTCTGGTTTTTCTCTTTTATATCGTCTGTCTGCCGTTTACCGGTAAACGGAAGAAGATGGGTGCTCGAGTGTCACGGACTGATTTTGAATGGGTTTATACAGACGAACCTCATGCAACTAGAAGGAAAGAAATCTTAAGTATGTTATGTTTAGTTTAAATTATAAATATAATTTGAAATTTAACTGTTTTAGAATTATGACGTTATTCTAGATGATGACACAAATCGATGACGATTTAATTGGTTTGTTTTAAACTTAAATTATCTTCGGGAACGTTAAAGATCTTAGCAGACATTCTTAACAAGTCATAAAGCATTTACTATTATCGTTTGAACTTGAAAGAATTGTCATCAACATGCAGTTTAATCGAAATATTTCTTTACACGTTTTGTCGTGAGTCGTGTATTTTAATAGGAAGGATCTTTATAAAGCTGCATGTTATGTTGCACTCTGTATAACTCTTTAGCTGGCTTATGCAGAGCGTAATGGGAGACGGACCGGTTGGCCGAATCCGTGTCGACTTTGCATTGCACGGTACCGGAGTCCGACCGACGTCGGAGTCCAAAAAAGTGAGAAGTGGCGTCGTCGATACGGATCCTTTCTTCGCTACGTATCCGAGATCCCCGACTAACGCGACGTCGGCTACAGACGGAGTTGTTGAGTATTTTTCTGCCAAACGCCCTCTAAGGTAGCACTCTTTTGGAATGTGTTGTGGTGTTTTGGCATCACGTTTGATAGTGTCTTTTGTTTATGCTATCTATTGCTATCCAGAACTGACCGATGAGGCTTTTTGTTTTGACACGACATCGCTTGTCGTTTGGCAGATCCGGGTTGCTACGTAACTGCTACCGATTTGCTCGGTTACAACTGTTGAGTCTGTTAAATGCAGCTGTTGGGAACACATATGTGGCTTTTCGTGGTGGATGTCCTTTCTGGGTGACCGTCTGTCGTAGATACCGTTTGGCTAGCTCGGGAGGGAAAATCTCGCAGGTGTAACTTGTGAGTTTGCCTAAGTCGATGTGGATTCTGCCGAACTACTCCGTCCCTGTTTGCCTTACAGCTTTAAAAGATCTTTCTGATTAAAATATATCTGTAGCAGAAGGTATGTCGGCTACATTCAGCATACAAACTTAGCCTTGTAATAATGTAAATTGATCAAACATTATATTGAAAATTACAAGCAAATATATTGTAAGGAATATACTGTTTGTTTTTAATTATTAGTTAATTTCTCTGTAAAGGGAAGAGAAAATTGTATCAAAATGCAATTTTTCTATGAATATACTATTTTATATTCTATGAGGTCATACTAGAACTTGTAAAAGATTATAGGTTTCTTGTCTCTGATTGAACGCAATGTGTCCTTTAAATAATTGTTTAAGTTAAAAAGTATATATTAAAAATGCTTGTTACTGTATGCATGTAAAATGAGATGTAACAAGCAATTACTTAATGTGCTCTCGTCACAATGCTAAACTGCAGTTTTTAATCATATTTTAATTTAAAAAGCACATGACTTTTGATCCAAACTGGAAGTTCATATATAGTTAGTTGGGCCTCTGGCCCCTAAGCTTTTCATATCTGGTCTCGATTTCATCTATCTAACTCCGTTCTTGAGATGAAGGATGGATGGATGGACAACAGTGGAAATCTATAGGTCTGCAATTTGAAAATTGCAGCCCAATAATTTACTGTTTATATGTATATATACTCTTTGGTATCAACCTGTGTTTACATTGGGGGTTTGGACTAGTAACAATAAAAAATTTTTCATTGGTTTTGAGTGAATATAAAAATTACTGTACCTGTTATATACAGTGTACTTTTTTTACTCCTAATTTTTGTAGTATGATATAAATAAAAATTATATATCCCAGATAATTTTCTAGAACAAAAATATATGTATATGGACAATTTATCAATACAAGAAATATATATAATTCATGTTTCCAGTATTATTTCATTCATTTTCTGTGAACTTTACCGTTGATTTGAGATTTTATATTTAATTCATAAATTTCCAGTTACGAGTTAGATTCATATTAATCAAATCAGCTTAAGATCTTAGCATAACTGTCTATTGTGAAGCAAAATCTATAATTTGATTGATTAAAAGTTAGCATAAACTAAATCTGAAAATCCCAAAATTTGATTTATGATTTATATTTTAATTTGTAGTGTGTGTGTGTGTGTGTGTGTGTTTGTATTTATTGATACATACAGATTGTTCAGAACCTTTCCGGGAAATTACGTGTAAAGAATGTGATGACAGACAAAGAGGAGAAGGGGGAAAGAAGACAGGAAGGGAAGACAAGAAATAATTTTGCAAAAAGTATTAATATAAAAATATATATATTCGTCCTAGGCAAACAGGTGAAGAAGTGGCCCAAAGTATGGGTCGGTTCATAACAAAGATATTTTTAAGGCTTTCCCTGTTATAATAGATGATTGTATTTTTATCCGTTGAGCAGATTTTGTTAATCCGACTGATGTAGTCCGTATTTATCGAAAAATTAAAGTTTAAGGGGGTTGATGAAAAAATTTTTGTTAAAAGGGATCGATAACATGGTTGAATAGATAATATCACATAAATAATGCAGTTAAATTAACAAATACTGTTTTATTTTTTCTAACAGCTGTTTATCACTGTAAAAACTGTTTATTTTGTGGCTTTCTATTAAAATAGAATTAGGAGTATAGTAATATTTAGTTTAGTTTAAAAAAAAATGCTAAAATCAACTTTTGAGTTATTGAAATACAAGATATGTTCAATCTAGATATTTCAGTATAATTTTTTTAAGTATAAAAGTAGCTGTTGAATTTTAAACTGGAATATAAAATTTGCACGAGTCACGTCTTTAATATTGGATCAGTTTTTAATAATTAACAAAGTGTATTAAAATTTATAAACCTATCCATCGACCAAAGCCTAATATTATCGGGCTAGAAACGGCTATAATACTAATATTCGGCTTTGGTTGATGGATAGCTTTAATCGTATCGGGTATAGTAAAGATGTTTGATTAATTTATAAGCCATCTACAAAATTGAAATGAACTCAATAATTTTAAAGTTTTTTTTTTGGAAAAAAAAAATTAAAAATCACTAAAGTTGTTAAAATTTTCATCAATTTATCAATGTTCTTGACCATGTCTTTCCAGAAATTTTTTCCCCTCATCTACGTCTAAAAGCTTTATCTATTCCTTTCCTCCCCTTTAAAATGCACATTTCCAGTTTATTAATGAAATATATTTATTTAACAAAATATTTTTATGCAGATTATAATGATATAATCAAATAAAATTTTCTGTTTTACAGTGTTGTCAGATCTTATAATCCTAATCTTTTTAGTTTCCTGTCATATTACTTGATGACACATACATAAAAAATGCCTGATTGAAAAATCTTATGTAGTATGCAACAACTCTGTGATGGTCAACTTGGTAACAAAAATTATTTTGAGAATAATACTCAGAATACTTTTAATCCATCATCATCAAGAGCGGAGATATTCTAGATTATGGAATTTTATGGACTTAAAATTTCAAACATTATTAGCTTCATCTTATTATCCAATAATAATTTGTCATGTTTATTAATTTATCAAATTATTTTTCCTGGATATAAATAATACTAACCACAACATTTATTAAAAAACAAAAAAAAAGGGTGTGCAGTAAAATTGACTACATAAGTATGGAAACAAAACCTGAAATGTCTGAATTTTCTAATAGAAAATAGTTTCCTCATCAGTTTGTATTAACTAAAAGTATAATTTTTAAGTATATTAATACAAGGTAAAGATGTACTTAAAACTATGCTTAATTAAAGCTATAAAATATAAAGATGAACGTGCCCCTATAACTGTTTGAGCAGTAAGCATCATCAATATAGACAGGTGTAATAAATCTTTATAACATTGCAGGTGGTGTGACATACAGGGTGCTGATACAAAACAGTTAAGTAAGCTCAATAATTGGTTTACAATTATGAACTAATGTTATACAGATGGATTATATACATATCGAAAGCAGTAGGACAACAGAGTTGCAGGTGCAGGGAGCGGTTATAAAGGCAGTGTGTTATAGTCCACATCTGGTACCCAAGTGGTAACATATGATACAATTACAAGTTTGTAAAACAGTTGTATAAACTTGTAATTTTTATCAATAATCTGTATTGGAAACAAATGGGTGAAGTTCTCTAGTTGAAGATAAATATTTACTTCAGAATGTTGAAAATCACTGATAGGTACAGATTTTTAATTTCTCAAAATTGTAATTTTTGTAAATATATTCAAATAGAGAAGGTAAATTTTCATTTTACATAAGATATTTCTTCAAATTTTATATACTAAAAATACAAAAGTGCAAAATTAAAATTTGAAGAGAGTATCTTGGGAACCCATCATACGTGAACTTGCCGCATGCAGTTTCAGGTTTACACAACTGGTAATTCAAAAGGAAAAAATACATAATGTTTTCTTAATTATGCACTATATCTATACCATTTAATGTGTATAATGTTTCATTGCATTATCATCTGGGAAATTGTAACTAACTCATTTTTCTTTTACACTTGACACTAGGACTTTCATCAGTCTTTCAGTTCTTACTTGTAACAAGTCATGCATATGGTTATGGCATTTAAAACTTTGCGAAAAGTCTATTTTGTAAAATTGGTCAAATCCCAAAATGTAACTATCCATAGGGTATTAAATAAATTAAAAACATCAAGAAATCATTCAAAATAACAAAAATTAGTTACTATATTAAATTATTAATGAAATGTAATAATTTCATATGAATGTTAAATATTAAAGCCAAACAATTACTTGATTATATCGGGTTATATCATTATATCACTATTACTGTTATTAAGTAAATGCTATTATATCACACTATATTACTACTACTATTAAATGCTTTAATTAAAAATAGTAGTAGTAATATAGTCCAATATAATCTGACAATTGTTTGGCTTTAATATACAACTATTGGGTTTAAATGTTTATATTTGCATCTTAAATATTAAATTAAATTACAAGAAAAGTTATCATTTATGAAATAAATTTTACATAAATGATTTTATTAATTTCTGTCACCAGATCTAGCCATTGCCAAGTCGACCATGTCCAG